TGTTTTTTTTTTTTTTTTTTTTTTTTTGCCAACAATCTTAAGGATAAATGGCTTCCGACGACAACACCGCTTCGGGTACACCTCCTTCAATCACCATACCTGAGAATGGTCCATCATCATCCATGGCGATGACACTTGCCAAGCCATTCCCGGATGTCTCAAAAATCGAGGTCTTCGCAGACGAGAATTTCAAGAGATGGCAAGAACGTTTGTACTCTTTGCTCGACATACATGGAGTGGTATTTGCGCTCAAAGACCCAAAACCTTCATCAAACTCTGAAGCTCACATTCAAGATGTTTTTTTTTTTTTTTTTTTTTTTTTTTTTTTTTTTTTTTTTTGCCAACAATCTTAAGGATAAATGGCTTCCGACGACAACACCGCTTCGGGTACACCTCCTTCAATCACCATACCTGAGAATGGTCCATCATCATCCATGGCGATGACACTTGCCAAGCCATTCCCGGATGTCTCAAAAATCGAGGTCTTCGCAGACGAGAATTTCAAGAGATGGCAAGAACGTTTGTACTCTTTGCTCGACATACATGGAGTGGCATTTGCGCTCAAAGACCCAAAACCTTCATCAAACTCTGAAGCTCACATTCAAGATGCTTGGGTCCATGCCAAAAAGGTTTGTCGATACACCATCTTACAAACTTTGTCTAATGAACTATTTGATGTATATTGTAGCTATAAGGAAGCTAAAACCATCTGGGAGGCATTAGTCAAGAAGTTCAATGTACAGGATACAACAAAACAAAAGTTTGTTGTACTCAAATTCTACCGATGGGAGATGATAGACAATAAGGATATCAAGGATCAAATCACTGAATACCAGAAGTTACTAGAAGAGTTGAAAGCCGAGGAGATTGAGCTACCAAAAAAGTTTGTAGCTGGGATTTTGATTGAAAAGCTGCCAAAGTTGTGGAATGACTATAAAAACAATTTGAAACACAAGCATAAGCTTCTTTCGATGGATGAGCTAATCACACACATCCTTATTGAGGACACCAATTGAAAGGAGTCAAAAGCTGCAAAGTCAAAGGAAATGGCAACAAAGTCCAAGCTGGTACAAGGAAAAAGGTACAACAACAAAACCTGTGATTTCAAGCCTAAAGTTAATAACCATATGTTCAAAAAGAAAGGCACTTGCTATGTTTGTGGAAAGCCTAGCCATCATGCACCCCAGTGTCATAAAAAAGTGAGAAATGACGATCCTCTAAACCCAAAAGTCAACTTGGTCAAAGGAAATGATATTATAGCGACGGTTATTTCTCAAGTGAATATTATGGCCAGTGATAAGGACTGGGTGGTAGACTCTGGGACAACAAGACACATTTGTGCTAATAGGGATGCCTTTTCCTCCTACACTTCTGTAGGAGATGGAGAAGAGGTAATCTACCTTGGAGATCCAAGAACAACAAATGTTCTTGGTAAAGGAAAAGTCCAACTCAAGCTAACCTCTAGCTCTACCTTAGCTTTGAATGAAGTGCTGTATGTTCCCAACATTAGAGCAAATTTAATATCTATGGCTTTATTAGGGAAAGCATGGGTTAGGGTGTCCAAAGATCGTAATGACCAAAAATAAAGTTCTTGTAGGGAAAGGTTATTGTAATCAAGGGTTATTTGTACTGAATGTTCACAATGTTATTAATGAAAATGCTGGATCATCTTTTGTCTACTTGACTAATTCTATCGATATGTGGCATGCTAGATTAGGTCATGTTAGTATACCATATATTAAGAAAATGCTTTCTTTGGGTATGACATCTAGTTCTGGCTCTACATGCATAAATAAATGTCAAGTTTGTGTTGAGACTAAGAAAACGTGTGCACCTGTTCATAGGGAAAGTGAGTTACTAAATTTAATTCATACTGATTTAGGTGATTTAAAACAAACTATGACAAGATGTGGAAAGAAATATTATGTAACTTTTATAGATGATTACTCAAGATATATCAAAATTTACTTGCTTAGAAATAAATATGAAACTTATGATTCATTTCTAGTTTATAAAGCTGAGGTTGAAAATCAATTGAATAGAAAAATCAAAAGAGTTAGATCAGAAAGAGGAGGAGAATTCTTACCAATAAACGAATTTTGTGAAAAGGAAGGTATAATTCATGAAACTACCCCTCCTTATTCTCCACAATCAAATGGTGTAGCTGAAAGGAAATAGAGCACTACAAGAAATTATGAATGCTATGCTAATAAGTTCTCCTACACCTAATAACTTGTGGGGGAAGCTATCATATCCGCATGTCACTTACAAAATAGAATTCCCTATAAGAAAACTGGAAAGACACCTTATGAATTGTGGAAGGGTTATACTCCTAACCTGAAATACTTAAAAATATGGGGGTGTCTTGCTAAAGTTATGCTACCTGAACCTAGGAAAAGAAAAATAGGCTCAAGAACTTTTGCTTGTATGTTTATTGGCTATGCTGAACATAGTGCTGCATATAGGTTTCTCGTTTTGAAAAGTGATATTCTTGATTGCAATACTATTGTTGAAACAAAGAATGTTGAGTTCTTTGAACATATTTATCCATTGTCTAAAAAGATTTCTCATGCATCTGTTAGTCAAAACACTAATGAAAGTGTTGACATGACCTCTAACAAGGAATTAACAAAGAGTAAGAGAATTAGGAAAGAATTTTCTTTTGGAGATGACTCTATCACTTATCTTGTTGATGATAACCCAATCTCTTACTCTGATGCTATCTCATCTTCTGATGCATCACTTTGGAAAGAAGCTATTGGTAATGAGATTGAGTTACTTTTAAAAAATCGAACTTGGGAATTAGTCGATTTACCTCCGAGGACAAAACCCATTGTTTGCAAATGGATTTTTAGGAAAAAATGTTTTCCTGGTAGTTCAATTGATAAATATAAAGCTAAACTATTTGCAAAAGTTTTTGCGCAAAAACAAAATGTTGACTATTTTGATACTTTTGCCCCAGTAACTAGAATTTCTTCAATACGTGTTTTAATTGCCTTAGCATCTATTTACAAGCTTTTTATACATCAAATGGATGTCATAACAGTTTTTTTAAATGGCGATCTAGAAGAAGAGATTTATATAGTGCAACCAGAGGGCTATATAGCCCCTGGATTAGAGAATAAAATGTGTAAATTGAGAAAGTCACTATATGGTCTTAAACAAACATCAAAACAATGGTATGAAAAATTTGATCAAATTATATTAAGTAACGGTTTCTCATCAGTTGATGTGGATAAGTGTGTTTATACAAAAGTTGCTAATAATGAATGTGTGATTATTAGTTTATATGTGGATGATATGCTTATATTTGGTACTAGCATTGATGTGGGACAAAGTACTAAATGTTTTCTAGCTTCAAAATTTGATATAAAAGACATCGGTGAAGCTAATGTGATTTTGGGGGTTTATATCACAAGGAGAGACAATGGTATAATGTTGTCATAAACAATATTATGTAGAGAAACTTCTTAGGAAGTTTGATCACTTTGAGTACTCCTTATGATGCAAACACTCAATTAAAAAAAAATCGTGGTGATCCAATTGCTCAGACTAAATACGCTCAAATTATTAGGAGTCTGATGCATTTGATAAATTTTCTAGACCTGACATAGCTTATGCTGTGTACAGGCTAAGTAGATATACTCATAATCCTAATTGTGATCATTGGGTTGGGTTAGTCAGACTAATGAAATATTTAAGAGGTACCATGAACTATGGCATTCTATATAGTGGATTTCCTGCTGTATTGAAAGGATACAGTGATGCAAATTGGATTTCAAATTCAGATGAGACTAAATCCACTAGTGGTCATGTATTTACTCTTGGTGGGGGTGCACTTACTTGGAAATCAGCCAAACAAACTATCATTTCTAGATCCACCATGGAATCTAAGTTTATAGCTTTGGAATTAGCTGGTATTGAAGCTGAGTGGTTAAGAAATTTCTTAGCCGAGATTCCACTAGGAATGAAACCAACACCATCTATATCGATACACTGTGATTGTCAAGCGGCAATGGCCATTGAAAAGAACAAGACTTTCAATATCAAAAATCGACATAATTGATTGATACACAATGTGATAAAATAGCTGTTAAAATATGGAATTATATCTATCAATTATGTGAAGTCAGAAGTGAATTTGGCCGATCTACTGACTAAAACATCGGGGAGAAAATTAATTCTTGAAACATTAATGGGTATGGGACTGACGCCTATATGAGATATCAAGGGTGATGGTAACCCGACCTGTGTGATTGGAGATCCCATGAATTAGGTTCATATGGGTAATAACAAGTCACTTGATGATACTGAAGCACTAAAAAATTAACTAAGTCCTACCTATGGTGTGTGATTAGTGCTTAACTGCAATTCAACGTGAGGTTGAGCTAAGCTCTTCATATATTCCGTAGCCTTTAAAAGTGGTGTATAAAGTTGCAGTGGGGTGGGGCCGCTTCCATGAGATAAAATCTCTAGAGCACTCATATAACCAGACACATGCATGGCCTATTAGCGCAAAACGCATTGAACAACAAAAATTGTGGTGGTGTAATGTGATCGGTGAAACCTTCAACTTACAATAAGAGTGTGTTGGTTCATAGAAGCTATAAGCTTTACTAATAACTCTGTAAGTTAAGTTCCATTCTTTCTAGATCTGGTTCATAATCCAAAAAATACCAAACTCAAGGCATTTACATCAATATGTATAGACCCAATATAAACCTTTTAAAATATGTGGGGAATTGTTGTATAAAATATTTTAAAAGATTATATTTGACCACATTTGAGTTGACTGTTATTTCCAACAGCCAATTGACCAAGTCTTGATATGCACGTTTAATTGTTGCCTGTTGGTTGCACAAAATCTGCAAGATATGGCTTACAGTTTACTGATATTGGCCACGATAATTGCAAAAGTGGTTACCTTGAGGCCTATAAATACAGCCACTTATTCACTCATTTTACACACATCTCATCTCCATTTCATATATTCTCTCTTATTCTTTCTCCATAGCTTTCTTAAAAATTTATTTTGTGATTTGTTGGATTTTATGCGCAATATTAAATAGATGAAAAAGAAAATCAACACAAGAATTTTACGTGGTTCGGCAGTGTACCTACGTCCACGAGAGCGAAGCGGAGATGATTTCATTCAGTAGTGAAAAATAGGGTTATAACATATTATTTATACTAACTCTAACCTAGGGGATAAGACTTTAAAGCCCGTACAAAAAATACCCCTGTGCCCAGGACCTGTGTTCCGCTCTATATGAGCCACATGTCCAACATGTTTCAATTAGTATTTACAATGGGTCTATAATCTTATTTGAACTTTGTTGTTCCTGTCACCCTCTCACTTGAGGAAGAGTTCGTTGAATCCTGGGGGATAGCCGATTTTACTAGAATTATCCTTAAGGACAGTGCTTGCACACCTCGAACTAGTTAATTATTTGAATTCATTACTATATTCATTTTATTTTTGCCAACAAGACCCATTAAGAGCAGACGGGCAAATAATAATAATAATAATAATAATAATAATAATAATAAAGAAGCAGCTAAACGGTTTGATTATATACATCTTAAACCAGAGACGTATTTAAGGAGGGGCTGAGCTAGGCTGTAACCCCCCCCCCCCC